CCGACACAAGAACCCCAAGACTGGCGAGTACGAGGAGAAGCATTTGAAGAACCCTCCCATGGCCCGCATCGTCAAGACCTCGACCCTCTACACCCTCATCGTGAAGCCCGACAACAGCTTCGAGATCAAGATCGACGGCGAGTCTTCTCGCAACGGAACCCTCCTCGAGGACTTCTCACCCTCCGTCAATCCTGCTGAGGAGATTGATGACCCGAATGACAAGAAGCCCGAGGACTGGGTTGATGAGGCTCGCATCTCTGACCCTGATGCGAAGAAGCCCGAAGATTGGGACGAGGACGCGCCTTTCGAGATCGTCGACGAGGATGCGACCAAGCCTGATGATTGGCTTGAGGACGAGCCCACTACCATCCCTGATCCAGAGGCTGAGAAGCCCGAGGATTGGGATGACGAGGAGGATGGCGACTGGATCCCTCCCACGGTTCCCAACCCCAAGTGCGACGAAGCCTCTGGCTGTGGCAAGTGGGAGCCTCCGATGAAGAAGAACCCCGCCTACAAGGGCAAGTGGTCTGCCGAATACATCGACAACCCGGCGTACAAGGGCGTCTGGGCTCCTCAGAAGATCAAGAACCCTGACTACTACGAGGACAAGACCCCGGCCAAGTTCGAGCCCATTGGCGCTATTGGCTTCGAGATCTGGACCATGCAGAACGACATCCTCTTTGACAACATCTACATCGGCCACTCCATTTCTGACGCTGAGAAGCTCAAGGCTGAGACCTTCGACCTCAAGATCGCCGCTGAGAAGGCCGAGGAGGAGGCCACCAAGCCGAAGCCCAAGGATGATGTCAAGTCGCCATCTGATCTTGTCTTCAAGGACGACCCTGTCAAGTATGTCAAGGAGAAGACCGCTCTGTTCGTTGAGATTGCCAAGCGCGATCCCGTCGAGGCCATCAAGTTTGTTCCCGAGGTCGCTGGTGGCATCGGCGTTCTCGCCGTCACCATCATCGCTCTCCTCGTCACTCTTCTTGTTGGCTCCGGCGCCGCTCCTTCGCAGGAGCAGGTCAAGGCCCAGGCAAAGAAGGCCAAAGACGCCGCTGTTGACGCAAAGGACAAGGCCGCAGAGGCTGTTGCTACTGGTGCGGAGAAGGCCCAGGCTGAGGTCAACAAGCGTACCACACGCTCGACCGCCCAGTAAGCGGACGAGAAATGCACGCGAGATGTGCGAGAATATGTGGAAGTAGTCGAAGAGTGATCAAAAGGGCTCCGGACAAGCAAGGTCCAGGAGAGATACCCATGTTCCGTATTCTTGGATTCTGGCATTAGCTATATATCGTTCTGGGTCACGGCGCTACAAATGTATCATAGTCATGTTTTGCAGAACGACATAATGCAGAGAACTTGGGTGTAGACCCAGGATGTCAACAACAATCAGCTATCTTGTACAAGCGCAATTGATAACCACACTCGCGCGCTGCGTCTTCACTTTATCTCTTTTATGCTTGCCAGCGTATCTAGCCGTGTAGACGCTGCAAACGCAACAAACGAGGGCGGGACAAGTAACCGCGTCGACCTCGGATAGCCGATGTGCAACGGCGGGGTGGCTTCCCACAATTCGGACACGCGCAAGAGGCAGTCCGGAATCAGTTTCCCAGAACTGCCGCGAGCATCAATTCGCCTTCGCGTGTCTGATACTTCTTCTCTCTTTTCCCATCGCTGTACAGAGAGACTGTGAACTTTTTGCGTTGCGTTCATCAAGCTCTCCCCACAATCCCCGCCGGCAGTTGCACTTGCGCCAACATGGCCTCTCGCCGAGCTCTCGCACGAATGCCGACGTTGGCCGCCCGTTCGTCCTTTGCTCGCGCAGCTCCTCTCTGCACCAGAATGTCGTCGCCAGTGAGCTCCAGCAAGGTCGCGGCACGGCGGCTACATGCCACCGTTCGGCATCTGAAGCCTGCTGCGGCAGCGGCCGAGTCGTATCCCATGAGCCACGAGCCGATACAGTCGCCCAAAGACACCCAGAACTTCCTCGACAACCAATTCGTCGCCTCGCAAGCTACACAATGGATCGACCTGCACGACCCTGCCACCAACAACCTGGTCACCAGGATACCGCAGAGCACAGATGAGGAGCTCCTCGCGGCGGTGGACAGCGCACAGAAGGCGTTCAAGCCATGGAAGGAGACCAGCTTGCTGCACAGGCAGCAGATCATGTTCAAGTACACACACTTGATCCGCGAAAACTGGGACAGGCTGGCTGCTAGCATCACACTCGAGCAGGGCAAGACGTTCGGCGATGCGAGGGGTGATGTCCTCCGTGGCCTGCAAGTGGCAGAGACAGCCTGTGGTATCACCACCCAGATGACTGGCGAGGTGCTCGAGGTTGCCAAGGACATGGAGACACGCAGCTACCGCGAGCCATTGGGTGTCGTAGCTGCCATCTGCCCTTTCAGTGAGTGATGATCTACATTGGCCGTGACACCATGCTAATATGCTAGACTTTCCCGCCATGATTCCCCTTTGGACCATCCCAATTGCGACCGTGACTGGTAACACATGCATCATCAAGCCCTCCGAGCGTGACCCTGGTGCGTGTATGATCTTGGCCGAACTCGCTGAGAAGGCCGGCTTCCCTCCTGGTGTCATCAACATCGTCCACGGCTCGGCTAAGACGGTTGACTTTATCCTCGACGAGCCACGTATCAAGGCCATCAGCTTTGTCGGCAGCAACAAGGCCGGAGAATACATCTACTCTCGCGCTTCCGCGAACGGCAAGCGTGTCCAGGCAAACTTGGGCGCCAAGAACCATGCCGCTGTTCTTCCTGACTGCAACAAGAACCATGCCCTGAACGCCATTGCCGGTGCCGCTTTCGGTGCTGCCGGGCAGCGCTGCATGGCTCTGAGCACTCTGGTCATGATTGGTGAGACCAAGGACTGGGTTCCTGAGATCGCTGAGCGTGCAAAGGAGCTGTCAATGAATGGTGGCTTTGAAGAAGGTGCGGATCTTGGTCCTGTCATCAGCCCACAGTCAAAGAAGAGAATTGAGGATCTGATCACCAGTGCCGAGGAGGAGGGTGCCACCATCCTGCTTGATGGCCGTGGCCAGAAGCCTGCGAATGAAAAGTATGCCAATGGCAACTGGGTATGTCCCTCGAAGCAACGTGGCTGAAACCTCATGCTGACACCCGCCCAGGTCGGTCCTACCATCATCGCAAACGTCAAGCCACACATGAAGTGCTACACGGAGGAGATCTTCGGCCCAGTACTTGTCTGCTTGAACGTTGAGACCATCGATGAGGCCATTGACATGATCAACGCCAACGAGTACGGCAACGGTACCGCCATCTTCACACGCTCCGGCGCGACTGCTGGCCGCTTCCAGCGCGAGATTGAGGCCGGTCAGGTTGGAATCAACGTCCCCATTCCCGTCCCCGCAAGTGCTCTTTGATATGAGATAGGTAGAGTCACAAGCTAACATCGTATAGCTCCCCATGTTCTCCTTCACTGGAAACAAGAAGTCGGTAGCGGGCGGCGGTGCCAACACTTTCTACGGAAAGCCTGGTCTACAGTTCTACACCCAGCAGAAGACGGTGACAAGCCTGTGGAGGAGCGAGGATGCGGTTGCGACGAAGGCGTCGGTGAATATGCCCACACACAGCTAGGCGACAACAAAAGTGATCAGCATCAAATTGGAGTCCTGAATCATTGGGCAGGTTGGGTAGGAAATGTAGTTTGTGAATAGCAATGTTCATTTGCCGAATTTCAGATATCACCTCAATGCGCCTCCGATGGACGCCCAAAGCCCCTGTCAATGAACTGTTCGGTGCTGCGCGAAGGTATACGCATGGATTTTGTGAGCTGGATGCTCGTATCATGTCGCAGGCTAGAGATCTTCGCTACCTGATTGTCCTGCTGCTGCTCGTTTTAACGTGCTCGAGGGCCTTCAGCAGTGTATCACCAGAAGTGAGAGGACGCAGGAGATGGGTCTTTTCAGTCGAGTCTTTCATCGTATGCCTTGGCTCAGAAATGCAAGCACAACAAAGGCCACAGTGAGTCGCTGGCCCTACTCACCACCACGCATTTTTCTCGACATGAATGCCGCCATCGTGCTCCTGTGGTTTAGTTGATAGTGTTGGTTATATTCACGATCCGATTCTCGCGTGTTGGTGCGGTCTCATATGCGCGTCTACAAGGAGCTCGTAACAGATCGCGAACCTCGTTGGAAGACACTCGGGATCTCGATGGCACTCTAAATAATAGCGCTAGGGTAAAATTCGCTACAATACACGTAGAATCCACACACTGTTAGCTTATAACGAATCGCATAATGCTCGATGCTACGAACTTGGCTAGATCATTGACAGCACACTCGTTGGCGACCTAAAAGCATCTCAAAGAGTAGAATGGCGTTAATATCAGGATTACGAAAGAGACGGTTGCTAAACTAGACCTAAGTCTTCGTCACAAAGATGTTGTTTATGTCTAAGTGCTTTGTCTGATTCAAGCAAGAATGTTATGCACTTCTTTGCAATCTAGAACGTCTGTAATTTCGTAAAGTTCATTGTGTTTGCAGCAGGATTAGGGAATTAGAGTATCTAAAAAATTGAACAGGTCAGTCTAAGGTCAAATGTTTTAAATCTGAAAAATCCATCTGAGCCTTCCCAGCTTTCAGGATATACCAGCCATTTCCTCGGCTCGTCAACAAGGTTTCTATGCAAACCAGAAGCTCGAGAGGATTTCAGTTTTGAGGTCAACTTTGCTGTAACCTTCCAGGACCATCAAGAGATGTTTGTATGTGCAGATGTCCAGAATTATCACAGCACTTAAGAAGTGTTAGATAGAAGAGGAAGTTATACAGCAAGCTCTACTTTACTCTGCAGGCCAAAGAAATGGTAGAAACGTGGACGCTGCGGGAATTGCACACTCTGTTGTGCCCACCTATATGCAAACCCCACCACGCCCAAAGATTGCTCGTTCAAACTAGCGGCCAGCAGATAGCGCTAAAAGAAGAGCAAAAGGAGCATACCGGCAGCAAAAAGATGTGGACGCTGTGGGAATTGAACCCACGACCTTTCACAGACATATTCGAATTATGCGAAGCGAACTGGCAATTGGTTAGAAGAGAAGGACGACGGGGAGGGGGGAGGTTTAGCTTACAATCATACCCCTAGACCAAGCGCCCGTCGAATTGACGATGATGACGAACTGTAAGTTAGATAAATTATAACGCAATCAATGAAGCTACATCATGACTCGATACTACTTGTTATAGACCTTCAATGTGGCTGATCGTCTGAAGTGCAGGGCAATCATAAGAGGGGCAGGTCATTTTTCGGAGCTTCGAGGCGGGGTTGCCAGATCTCGGACTGGTGCTTTTTGTAACGGTACAAAAAGACCGACCTTGTGTACCGTTCCGTATACAAGGTATTTATACCGTCACACTTTTGAGTGTGCCTGATTGTCTTCGATCTTTCATCATCTTTCGAAGAAGTTGCTACTACGTTGAGTCTATACCTGAATCGCTTGTCCTTCCAAAAATTCGGGCTCATAGCGACAACATCAATATGCGACTGGTGGCGTTGGTTCCCAGCCTCGCAGCTGCGGAAGGAAGGGGTGGTCACTCAGCCTCGTCAGTCCTCTCGCTGCCTGATCGAACCCTAAAACTACAAGTACTTCCAAGAGCCAGGACATCCTTCTCAACATGATACCAGGTCCGACGAACAGGCTGTGTGATGTCTGCAGCCGCGTCGTGAAAATCCTTAGCACTCCGGGGTGGCACAGGGACCTCTTACACCACGAATCTCGTGCAAGCTTGGAAAGGTCAGCATCTTCCAATTGCGGAATATGCACCCTGCTTTTGGAGCAAGTTTCCAGCGTTGCAGATAAGCTCTCAATCGATACCTGGGAAGAGCTCGCATTTCCTGTCAGGTGCGACTGCGACACGTCCGCTGCAAGCTTTCAGAGGTTGTTTGAATTGAGGCTATCGTGTCCGTGGGAAGGCACACATGATAGGATTAGTCTCACCTTCGTTTTGGAACAGGTCGAGGTCGATACCGGTATGCCTCTTGAAGATCCGATTTCGACCCATGGTGGCCCTCCTGCTCACGCTGTAAAAAATAGGCAAATCGAGTGAGCACGCACCTCCTGCATCCACCTCCTCCCCGCAGTGTCAAACGTTGGCCAAGCAGTGGCTACATGAATGTACTCAATTCCACGAACGATGCAATGCAACAGTCCCGCAGGCTTGGGCGCCTTCGCGTGTTCTCGACGTTGGCAGCAATGATGAAGATGATTGCAGGATCTGGTTAGTGATGCAAGACAGGAAGCAGTATTCTACAGAAGGCTATGCTACGCTATCTCACTGCTGGGGACAAGCACAAATGATCCAACTTACGAGATCTAATATGGCCGAATTCTGCCATACGGGCATCCGACGTGAAGCCCTTCCGAAAACCTTCAGAGATGCTATCGAAATTGCTCGGTACCTTGGGATACGACATTTGTGGATCGACGCGCTGTGTATTGTCCAAGACGATGTCGAAGATTGGCGCCACGAAGCTGATCTAATGAGCAAGGTGTATCGATACTGCTCAATTAACATCGCTGCAACTGGTGGCAGTGGTAGTGACGCAGGTTGTTTCTGGGAGAGATGCCCGGAGACCGTTCAGCGGACGCAAGTCGAGATCAAGTGGTCTGATAGTACTATTTCAGGACCGTTGACGTATTGCGTCATTCCTGAGCCTAAGCTTTGGAGACGACAGCTATTAGACGAGCCTTTGAACCGGCGTTGTTGGGTGGTACAAGAGCGCATTCTGTCACCTCGTACACTACACTTCGGTCGCCAACAGCTATCATGGGAGTGTCGAGAGCATATCGCATGCGAAACATTCCACCGCGGGTTACCTAAGTCTTTACTTGGCGACACTTTCATCAACATCAAGACATTGGAGCTCGGTGACGAAACAGAAGATGACCGATGGCCAGCCTTTTATGTCGCTAGAGATACCAGCATTGCACCGACGCTTTCTATCACCGAATCATTTCGACCAATCGTTCAGCAGGTGGTAACGCTGCACGCAACCAAGAGAAGTGCGGCCGTCTATCGCGATTGGGATAGCGTAATTGAACTATACTCTCGCGCATCTCTGACATTTGCAACGGACAGGCTTGTAGCAATCTCCGGGATTGCACAAGCGCTTGTCGACGGCGACGAAGGTTTTCGCAGCGACGGATACCTCGCGGGATTATGGCACTCTTCCCTGCCGTGCCATCTGCTCTGGAAGACCGCTAACATCAGGGAAGCACATAGGCCGCCAATGTATGAAGAATACATTGCACCGTCTTGGTCTTGGGCTTCTATTGGTGGTGAAGTGTCATTCGAATGGTGCCAACGCGACTTCGACAAGAACGATTATCTCGCTGTGATGGAGGATGCGGAAGTGTTAACTCATGGGGAATACCGTTTTGGGCAGGTAAGAGCTGGCCGTATCAAGCTTTTAGCTCCTCTCGCGTCGTGTTGTTTGACTTCCAACGCATGGATTCCATCGCTCAAGTCATTCAGCACCGGAATCAAGCAAATCTCCCAACCTGGGTCAGAGTCGCTCAAGGCCACAATCATGCCGGACTTCGGACCCGGCCGGGACCATATGTACGATAGAATATTTCTCGATATACCTCAGCACAATGAGCCGGAAGAGGTTCTATTGTTACCAATCATAGGCACCAGACGCAAGACGGCACATGACACGGAAGCTGTATTTGCTCTGATCTTGCGCAAGGCGACACAGGAAGAGGTCCAGGCGCACCTGGAGTCAGGAGGCTCCATATCAACGAAAGGGGGACTAATCGAGTTTGACCTTGAAGATACCTTCTACGTACGGATCGGGTTTTGCTATACTGATAAGCCACAAGTTTGCAGGATACTGAGGAATATGCAACGCCGATCTGTCACGATCATCTGAGAGAAACCGGGGCGGAGTATACATATCGTTCCCTCCTAGATACATTACTTGTATCAATTCTGCAGTCATGACCGATAACGTTACTTCTCCAGAGACCACTTCGTTGCAGAGCTTGACAGATCTGAGTTCACGAAATACAAAAACAATGGACTGTACAGATGATTTATGTTCTGCCCGTACAGTCTCTGTCATCCGACAGAACTCAGCAGATATAGATTTCCCATAGCCTCATTGAAGATGCTAAACAAGCACGAAAGTATCAGCATCACCCTCTTTCCAGTCCACAGCTTCACCGAGCGTTACGCCCTCAACGTAGCGATGGCCTAGCACCCTCTATTCATTCTTCGACTTATCAGCAGACTTCAAAACGAGAGGCATGATAGAACCGTGTAATATCACGATCGCTAAGCCCTGGTTCGCACCGTTTCCAGCCTTGCTTCCCACGGCAGGCACGAGACCCAATCTTCCTTTCAGAGTCCTTACAAAGCGGCGGCCACGACCCATAGTCAGAGCGAGGCCGACCTCGTTCGAGCCTGATAGATTGTGTAAAGTCTGAATAACATCTTTGGAGGTGGTGGGATTAAGAATGTCTTCTGCCGACCTGGCGGGTTGCCCGCCATTTGCGGCTATCATATTCAAGAGGCGGATTAGGTCCACGTGAGTCCAGCGTTGCGGGGTGGGTATGTCCTTCTTGATCTGGTTGATGAGCGTGTTCAAATATCCCACGTCACCACCTTCAAAGTATTTCGTGAACTTAGTCGAGCTCATGGCATCGATGCGATTAATGATCATCCCGCGACCATGCAGGTGATGTGTCCTGCCTGCATCCTCGATATCTGGTCGTACACATACTTTCTCTCAGCTGCTGCGTTCCACAACACCTCGTCCCGATACGAGCGCACACCAGCCGTAACCAGTCTCCACAGCGTAATCATTGGCGTCGCAGTTCAGGACGGTACCCAGGACGGAAAGCCTTCCAGGACTTCCGGTGTGCCTGGAACTAACGGATCCAGATTCGCAGCCCACAGGCTCAAGAAGTCAAGGGAGCCGTGGTCACGCGCGATGGTGATAGCGAGATTCGTGAAGTTCTGCTTCACAAACAGCGTGTTCTCCGGCATGAAGTCCCGTCCTTCTATGAGACCCAGACATCCAAATAGCCGATCAAAGATCTCCTGGGTTTGAAACCGTGATACAATAGCTGACAATAGACGAGGAAAGCGAAGTGGCTCTGGATCGGTGAAGGGGTAGAGTTCGAGTGCCATGAGTACTTTGTGCGAAATCCAATCTCCCGCTGCTATTGATGTTGGGCCCGGCACACTGAAGAGGTCGACAAGCTCCTGAAAAGAATAAGACATGCTGCCAATCATACAAATGAATTCGCGCGCAAGGAGGAACTCTGGGCATATTCAGCTGCAGCGGAACCACTGGCGTGTCCAGAATGCCAGGATGGCGGGTGCGAATATTGGATCAGTAGTAGGGTCATGAAATGGTCTTGCGCATTACGACGTTTCGCATATCCGGATTGTAGGAGGAATGCCCGGGTGTGATGCGATCTGCGACGTTCATGGTTGGTATGACTTCGTCAATTGCTTTGAGCCATTGTCTGCACATGCGACTGTTTTCGTCCTCGGGACCGAGCTAGACGATTACTCGCTGAGCTTTCTCATAGATCTCTGACATGAGACGGAGGTGTATGGCCTTCTCAGCGTTGTCTGCTTGGTTGATGCATAATTGGTCGATCCATAGGCGCTTAGTGCGGGATTATTGGATTAGGTGTGGCAAATCTGTGTGAGATTGGCCGTCAGACCGATCTGGCCTGCCTCGCAAGTAATTGGTAGAGCTGAGACACGCTCCGAATTTTCCCATGTGTAGCTCACAGCCTCAAAGTTAGCAGCAGAATCGTCAGTAGGTATCTCATACTCGACGAGCTGTGAGAGGGTGCAGCGTCGGATTGAGGCGTCGTGAGGTGGAAAAGACGAATAGATCGAGCATCCTGCACTTGACTGTAAGAATACGTCGTGGGGAAGTGTGGATTGGTCGATGTCATTGGAATGTGTTGGGAGTTCACACGAGTTGTCAGAGGAGAACGAGGCTTGATCTGAAAGAGGTAAGTGCCTGGCGAGGTTGCGCCACACAATGCATTCAATGAGTAAAAAAAGTATTGGGATGAATCGTTAGACGTGATGGATAATTGGTTGAAATTGTGGTAAAGATGTGAAGC